GTAGTTCATGTTATGCTTATTAAATACTTTCACAAAAATAGCTTACTCCTGGTTATATACACAGAATAAGAGATTACCACCCTTGTTTCGTAGATATAAAAACTGAGGCTCAAGAAGGTTATTTAAATTGCTCAAGGGATAATGAACACACAGAACAATATGCAGACGATGTATTATAGAACTGTATACCTGAAACCTTGGTAATTTTATTCACCAATAAAATTCAATGTCACACCAATAAAGTCAATAAAAATATAAATTGCTCAAAATCACGCTACTACTAAGCGTAAGTCCAGGATTAGTTGTAGCCTTTGGAAAAGACAACACCCTGACTTCACAAAGATTATAAAGTAGGCCTTTAATGTCAAAATCTAAATCCTCACTTTTGTGATTATCTCTTAAGTCTGACTCTTCTTTGTCATAAAGAGCAGAGCAGACTACCACACACTGGGCAGGAAGGACCTCAGAGAAAAATGTGTTCTTGTTTATTTAAAGATCTGAACACTGTAAATCTGGAAGATTGGTCACCTGCCTGGGGAAAAGAAAGGAAGATATGAATGGTGTCTGATAGATGAATTAGAAATACAATGAAAATGATAATAACAGCTACTGTTATTAGGAAACACTTTTCACTCAGGTACTTTTCTAGAGACTTTCCATGGAGTGGCTCATTAAATCTAACGCTGAGAAGAGCTTGATCATTGGGTTCTGGCCAGAACATTCATCTGTGCTGTGGAAATGAATGCAGAATTAGAGTCCTGAACAAAACAGATGGATGGATGCTGTTGGTTTTTGGAGAGAGCCGACTGTATGCAGAAAGGCACCTGTGAAGATGGGAGATGACTCATTTTAAGGTGCTGTGGGCCTGTTGATGGATCCGTCTCAGAACCAGAGAAGCACGATGGGCTGCTTCAGCGGAACAGAATCTTTGAGGGAAGTAGGGGAAATGCCTGCCTTACCCACTGATTCAGGAACCAGGTCTGAATTCAAGGATGTGGGGGTGGGGGGCACAAAGTAGAACCGCCCAGCTGGAGACAATTAAGATAAGCTGGAATCCAGAACCTCGACAAAAAGGTAGGAATTTCTAAAGAGACTGAGAAAGCTGCCAAACCTGGCAGTGGGCCCAGCCAGATCCGCCACAAGCCAGCATCTAGGCAGCTTAATCTAATATCCAAACCAAACAGCTTGAAGATACCTAATCTCAAGTCAGATCCAAAGCAACAAGAGCCTCGCTAATCCATCCCACTGACATTTCAGTGGGGCCTAGAATTACTATTAACAAAAAGAACTGATTCCTTTCCACTGTTTGTTCTATGTTGTTAACCACTATCTATGTCCTGTAGGTATTAGCAACAGACTTTTTAAAATACCTGAAGGTGTTGTGTGCTTACAGCAGAAACAGCAACGTGGCAGAAAGCTAGGAAGCAGCATCCTGCCTGGTAGGTGACACTGAAAAGAGCAATACAGAGAGAAATAAGTGGTGGCAACAAGTGGTGGGAGCAAGTGTATCGCTTTTCTCAAACTTGACAGAAAAAAAATAGTGGTGAATCGAAGACAAAATACAGAGGTTCAATCAGGAGTAGTCTGTATCTCAATAAATGCCACAGAAGACGTCCCGCTCACCAGGAGAAAGCCTGCAGGAAGCACCGTGAGGTCTCGGAGCCGGCTGCCCAGGCTGAAGCTGGAATCCTAACTCCTTATGTAAGTCTTGGATTCTCGGTGTGGTGTAGTGTTTCCCTGAGAGCCATTTAGCAAAATGTAAAACCAATGACAGGAACAGGTATTCTGTACGAGGACTGTGATGAAAATGGGATCCCACCTCTCCCATTGCTGCTGGTATGGTAGTCATATCACTTACCAAAGGGCAGAGGAAATACATCAATACTATATCCATAAGTTTCTTCCCAAATAGGAAGCTACAGAGCAAATATTCCAAAACCACTCTCCTATAATGAGATTTTCTTCCTTAATTGTAATATGTTTAAACATATTATAGATAATTTAATATCATCAGTTGAGTGATTAGTATGTGCCAATTACCATTCCAAACATTTTAATTTTTATTATCTCTGCTTTATAGATATAGAAACTGAGTAATAAATGACCTTTCTAATTTTTTATTTAAAAAAACTAATAAAAAATCAGGTCATGAGTTTGTATTAGGGGAAAATGAAATTCAAAGTGTAGGTCTGATTTGGATAACCAAAGTCACTTTCCAGTAAAGGGTCTCTACATTACCATCTAAATACTACCATCATGGCCAATTTCAAATTACAAACATGAAGTCACTGCCTGCAGAGTTAGGAAGAGATGCATAGTAGCATATCATTTTATAGGATTGCTATCATATCGGCACAGTAGATGTAAATAACCTCAAGAGCACAGACCATAGTAAAATGCAGTAAAATATGTAGGAAGTGATGAATTTTGAGTATTTATTACTTTCATCTTTAATGTAATTAAAGTAGATATTTATATAATTTAAATTTTTAATAATAGCTATATAACAACCAGCTCACAAAATTCCTGCTAACTGACTCTTACGAGAAGATAAGAGGTGGATCCAGCATTAAGAGGTGACTCCAGCACACCACTGTGAAATAAAAAACCTTCCAATTCTAAAGTATCTTCATAAATTTCAGCTATTAATTACATTGTTGCTTTTATAACTAAAGTTGACAGTGTCCCTGAGTCTATTTTCTAGACTATGACAAGTTTATCTAGGTTTTACATAGAGATATCAGAATCTAGTTCTAACTACAATAAATATAAGATTCTGGTTTATTAAAATAGTAGCAAGAGTTCCATAATTCTTTATTTTAGAAATTTACCCTAAGGATATTTCATAACATTAAAAATATTAAATAATTAAACCCTAACATACAAAGGTAACTGTATAAACTTGTAAGTTAAGTGCCTCCAAAAAAACAAAAATGAGCCATCTGATCATGTGTAAGAGTGTACCACCCTGGAGGCACATGAAATTCATTACTACAGAATCTCTCAGAGCCAAGTCTTGCCTCTGGATATTTAAAAGGGGTTAGGTAACACAAAGGTCAATAATAACTTGTTCAAAAAGCCCTACTCAAATTCCATGCTTCAGGGGGTAAACTGGAGAGTCACAAAGGAAAAAACCGCCTGCCCTTCCTACTTGCTCCCGGCCCAGCTATGTAACACTTTGCGAGAGAAAAGGTGAATGACAAAAGCAATTTCAACTCTCCCGTGAAGTACAAAGATCTACTGAAAGGATAAAAGATGGAGTGATGAGTGATATCAACTCATTAGTTGTGTTCCACATCCAAATACTTTCTCCTAAAGCACACGATGCTGGCCTCCAGGACCCATCTGTTCCTAATTTCCACCTCCATGGAAATGACGCTCACACCACACTGGGAGAAGGCTCCCTCACTCCATCAGACCCTTCTTCTTCTCTTTGCAAATATATCAATATTTGGGGAAAAAAGTGTACTTTCTTGTTTCTTTATAGTACCACTAACTTCATGACAAAAAATATTGCCAAACCATGGAATTTCATTTTATATGAGAGAGAATAATAAATAAGATATAAAAGAATTTTACTCTGCCACAATTTTAAAAACATGGCGTGCTTTTAAAATGAAATATATGTGACATCAGTTATAGTAATCTCTTCATTCCATAACATTTCCAGCCATTAAACAATGCCTCTCTTCAAAAATACAATGTTGAAAACCCCACAAAAACCAAAACATTTCCAGTCAGCAGTAATATTCCAGGTAATGGCAGAGCCATCAAATTGTAGTAGGAATGTTCTAGATTAAATTCTTTCTTTTCTGAACATTTTTTATAAAAAGCATTTTTATTTTACTTCTTTAAAAACACATAAGCCACTCAATAAAACTGAACTTTTCATTTGGTTCTATTTAAGAACTGAACACTCATTAAGGAACTACAATGATGTAATGGTTCAAAAATATACCAGAGAAAGTTTGCTAATAGTAAGCTTCCTTCCAGACTACCATTCATTTTAATATTCAGTCAGAAAAACCAATTTCCGGAAACAGAACGGCCGAGTTAGAATTCAGTTTATACAATTCAGTTAGCGCACCTTTTCCGTGACAGCCTGTTTCAAGTTCTTCTGAAAATGCAGCTGAGGGCAGTGAATTAGGAGCTCCCTTATCTACTCATTTCTCTTAATACTTAAAAAAGACTGGGGGTGGGACGGGGGAGACCTGCTTCTACCAGCTAATGCTCAGCAACCCTCTGCACCATGCCTCCATTCTCAGTGCTCCCTGGAAAGGAACCTCTCCCTTCTCAGACTGCTTCCAATCATGAAATTTATTGGAAACAAAGACAGTGACACGGAAGATCTGCCCTTCACAGAAAACTGGTCAAGGCCATAGAATATAAACGAGACACCGTGTCTTTCCTGTTGCTATACAATGAGGCTCACGTCCCACCTGGAATCATCATTCTCCCATCTAGCTATCATTATCATGTAACAAAAGAGCAGACTGTGTTTTTAAGTAGAAAAATAATAGTAAGCCTTATTTGGATGAATGATCATTTACACGCTAGACACCAGCTCACACACCAAGCAGATACTTCAGGACACGAGCCCTCAGAGCACCCGTGTCTTAGCCTGTCCTCCTAATCCTGACCAGCTACTATGTTGAAAGCATAGTGTTTGATGTGCTCAATAATCTACAAGTTTGCTGATTCATCTCAAACAGTCAGTTGTTTCATCACAGCATTATTACCAAACCGTCCCAGGCCATGGGGATAGATGTATACGGAGCACGCAAGGCGTCTGGGCCTCTGCGACCTACAATAACCGCTGACACTTTTCCAACAGGGCCGCAAACCTGCCCAACTGGAGAAAAGGTGTCATTATGAAATGGCTGTGGCATATGAACTTAAGAAGAAATATGGAAAGCGGGTAAAAAAAAAGGTGACACGCGGTGGAGTAAAGGTGAGTGGGACCAGTAGAGAGAGCAGCAGCCAGCTGGCCCCTGCATTACCATTATCAGGGCTGGCGAACATCCTACTTGCACTGGAAACTGTCTTCCCAATGTCAGCCAGGGATCGAAGGTTGGATTTCTTGGTTTGATGCCGATGCTTCCGGAGCAAAGTGTAGGTCACCTTATCCTTAAGGTCAGGTTTCAAAAGACCTGTCTCGATCTGATGGTCAACAATCATCTCTGATACAAAAACAAAGCAAAACAAGAACTCAGTCACAAGACCACAAAGTCAGTTTTTCACTCTAACTTGATAGATGTCATCCTCAAATTTAATATCAATATACTATATTCCAAATTTAGAACTTCCCGCTTTATGTGAAGGGTTAAGATACAGGGGACAGGAATATTGGCATTGAGAGTTATAAATATTCCAGTATTAATTATGTTTTTGGAGAGGAAAAATCGTCTTGCTCATTTTTTAAAGTCCCAGTTAATAGTGAATTCACATTAATCAATTCTTCTATGAGTAACACAATAAATCAGTAATTTACATTTTTCAATTAAGAAAAAAAGATAAGATTAGAAAAGTTCATGTACTCTATCATAGTAAGTGTGCCAGAAATACAAATGATATGAAAAGAACTTAGAGAATATGCTAAATTTAAAGTAGTGACATTATTGATTTTTTTAATCCAGCTTTCCAAATTCTTCTGTAATGCTGTATTTTCTTTATAATAGGACCAAGTAAAGGAAAACAATACCTTTCCCTATATCAGGTTACTTGAACACCAATTAATCCAGTAAAAGCAATTAAACTATGAAATTATGCTTTAGTCCTGTCGAAGAAGGGATGCCTATTCTTGTTTAGATTCAGTATATTCCGTTAGTCATTTTAAAGTATAACCTGACTAGAATTTTCTACGAAATTTTAATATCTTAGTCTTACTACAAAAAAGATTAAATTTTCTATTAGCTCTTTTTTTAAGAATGGTTTTAACTTAAAAAGATGGCTGTGTTTCATAGAAATTGCTCCATGGGTAGCTCTGCTGAAGGAAAAGTTTTACTCTAATAAAAAATAAGGTAGGCATGGGGATGTAAAGTACAGCATAGGAAGTGCTGTCAAGAATGTTGTAATAACCACGTATGGTGCCAGGTGGGTACTGGAAATATCAGGGGAACACTTTGTAAAGTGTATGATTATCTAACCACTATGCTGTACACCTGAAACCAATACAAAATAATATTCAATGTAAACTGTAACTGAAAAAAACAAAAAATTTTTTTTTAAAAATTTAAATAAGAAACCCTTTCTCACAAGTCAGCATGTCAGCAATATGACATAAATGTAGCCTGGTGCACCCCACCCTAATGTCACATCACAATTTGACATTTCCTCTGTCCAAAATGGGACTCAGGACAAAACATCACAGAATGTGTGCAAGATATTCAATGGCAGGATGCTACCTCCTTATACGCAGGTAGAGCTTTTGTCCCTGCCCAGAACCAGAACGATGGACCCCATGCCTACCTCTTCAGGTGCATGGGTGCATCTAGAACATATCAATATTCTCCTCTAGGGCAAAGTTCTCAGTATACAAAAGGAGAGAAGAAAACAGCCTACCTGGCTGTCAAAAGGAAGACAATTTTACCCTCTCCGACAGCATGGATGGACCCGGAGAGCATTACGCTAAGTGAACTAAGCCAGTCAGAGAAAGACAAGTACCGTATGACTTCACTCATATGTGGAATCTAATGAACAAACTGAACTGTCAAGCAAAACAGACAGACACAAGCTGACAGCTCTGGTGGGGGGATGGGATTGAGCAAAATAGAAAAAAAAAGAGAAAGAACTCACGGACACAGTCAACAGTGTGGATGGGGGGGTGGGAAGAAAGGGGGAGGAGTTGGAAAAGGGTACAGGAGGAATAAATGGTGATGGGGGAAAAAATAATAAAATAAATTTTAAAAAGAAGGAAGGAAAGAAAATCAACTGGTGCTGTTAGGATAACAGCACCGCCCAAGCATTCCCTCCTTTCGTAAAGAGAAGTTAGAAATATCCAAGGGGGTGTGCTCCGGCCTGGCTGCTCCTCTCGACAGCTCTTCTTCACAAAGCAAGCACTCAGAGAACTGGCCTCACGGCCTAGAGCTAGAGACTAATGATTTACACAGTATACAATCAACTATTTGGGAGCCAAACAGAGGCGGAACCCAGGATTTTCCATCAGATGCCTTTCACAGATGCCATAAATGCCACATAAGGCTGGACCACTTGGTAGGGAGCCTGGGCAAGGCAGGAGGTCTCTCTCCCACAGCAGTGTTTTGGTTTGACAATGGCCGTTAGCCCTGAGTATTCTGAACTACACAAGCCCTACTCAGTAAAACTCTCAGAACTGGTTCTGTAATTACAATGAACCCTCTGCTCCACAGCAAAATAATCAGGTGCTACCAAACACAACCCCTGTACGCTCCCTTTAAGTCTTGTCAATGTGGAAAGTCCATTTCACAGAACCACAAAAATAAACAAACAGCCCCAGCGTATCTGCTGTCAAGTGTTATCAAACTCCTACTCTAATTCCAGGGTTGTGGGTTAAAGTGTTTCTTATCTACCCTTCCTGGCAGGGCTTCCCTCTATTCCTGCCCTCCCTTATAATCTCAAACCAACCCTATATGTGCACAGCCAGCCCTTTGTTACTAATGCCTGGAAGTCACCGGTTAGAACAGGTTGAAACATCTGCATGGCTGATGCCCTTCATGACGTTTCCATAAAAATGGCCCCCATTGCAGGGATCTCTTTAAGCATAAACTACAAAACCTTTCAGGAAAGTGGGGGCAGTAACGTTTCACAGCTACACTGAAATTAAGCCTTCAGTGTCAAAACCCCACAGACATTACCAACTGGGAAAGAATGTGCCAGCCCTCGATGACAGCAGAGCTCAAAGGAACCTCACAGAGCATCCGGTTCAACCTCTTGCTACACAGATGAGAAAAGACAGGGCAAGAGAAGCTTGCTCACAGACACAGCCTAATCAGAGGCAACAGCCCCTCGCCCCAATGAAACCAGGTGTTCTGGCTCATAGTTTAGATCTTTTCCATATCACACTATACTTTCCTTTATTTGAAAGGGAAGCACTAGACCCAAACAAAAAATGGATATATGCAGAGCTTCTGCAAACCAACAGAAAGATGGCCATGCAACAGAAAAAAGGCCAAAGGTGACGTTCTTACAGGAAATACAAACACCCAAGACACATTTAACTCCAAGGCTAACAGACAATTTAAACATGTGTACAATATAACCTATTATGAGATATCTGTTAATCTATCAAAGTGACAATATTTTAAAGGCTAATCCCCAGTGGCATGAAGGGTGTGTGTGATAGACAATTCCTCATACGGATGATGACTGTAGTAACTAGTACAACCTTTCCACTTGGCAACCACATAGCAAAACCCTAATTTAATATGTTCAAACCCTCTGAATATTTCGCCATTAGAAATCTATATGAAAGAAACAACTAATTTCACAAAAGCATGACAAAACTGTTCACTTCTTTTCTTTATAATAAAAACTTGAAGGCAACTTCAATGCCCAATAATAGATTTTTAAGAATTTTGCAGCCATTAAAATGATGTTTATACTTCTATTTAATGACATGAAAAGAAAATTCATATTATGCTTTTAAATTTAAAAAAGAAAATTAAAGTGTTGTAGTATGATCCCATTTTGTAAAATAATTTTCATATCTGTAAACAGATGTACAGAAAAACTGCTGGGAGGACAGCTCTGCAGGATCAGATTTGTGGTATTTTGATTTTTGTGTGTTATAGTTGTCTAGATTATTTAAAAATGAACACAGATTTGTGATAAAACATAAATATATTACCATTTTGAGAGTATATAAAGTGTAAAAAGCAAAAAGCGACTAACATATCTGCCCATAGCAACAGCTCAGGAATTCCTTTACATATAAAAATGGGAACTCCAAAAACAGAGCTACACTTTCCTAATCTATTTCCCATCATAATAAAATACCTGAAATGACTTNCATATAAAAATGGGAACTCCAAAAACAGAGCTACATTTTCCTAATCTATTTCCCATCATAATAAAATACCCGAAATGACTTATAATTTTTTGTAACTTAGGAGGGGAGGAAAATACCCATGTACTTGGCTTCAGATGTGAATGACATTTTTTAAATGTCGAATTATAATGACAGTAATAATAAAGCTACTAAAGTTACTGGTGAAAATTATTTATGCTTTATATACTTTAAGGGCAAATTTTCCTATTAGCTTTAAGAAGGGGTTCTTCATGAGGAAGCCAGGAGGAGGTTCTGAGGAGAATCAGAACTGGGCTGAATTTTTCAGCACGTGTGAGAAGCGCCTGCTGCAAGTCTCCCTCTGCTCTGGGCCAGGCTCCTTCGCGCCTGCAGAGGGGATGCCTCTCAGATGGCGGCATCGGATGCCACTAAGGAGGAGTGGCAGGTGGACTGCAAAAAACATAGAAATCTTGCTACTGCTTGTTCGAGATAATCACACTTGCTATTATTACTTTTTCTTCTCATTTGTTGAGATAAACGGGTGGAGGGGAGATGCATCTTAAGACAGCTGCACATAATTCTCAGATTAACAACTCCACTCTACCCTCTGCTAAAAAATAATAATGATTTTTGATAACCAAATAATGACAATACTCTTTCCCATGCCATCTTCTGTCATTTAAAACGAAATAAGGGCACTTTTTTTCCCCCTTCGTGTTCTTGGCTCAGAGGATTTTTAAGTATTTCTTTTCAGCCAGTTGCATTCTCTCAAACACGTTCTTCTCCTTGCATTCCGCAAACCTGCTCCTTCCTTTCTTCCTTTCTTCCTTTCTTTCTTTCTTTCTTTCTTTCTTTCTTTCTTTCTTTCTTTCTTTCTTTCTTCCTTTCTTTCTTTCACTTATGAGTTGTTTTTCTGCCTCTTTATTTGCCTCNGTCCTTCCTTTCTTCCTTTCTTCCTTTCTTTCTTCCTTTCTTTCTTTCACTTATGAGTTGTTTTTCTGCCTCTTTATTTGCCTCTGCACTGTNTTTATTTGTCTCTGCACTGTTTGTATTATCAGCTCCCGAATGCACCCCGGCCCTGTGCCTGCTTGCCCCAGGGACTATAGAGCAAACACACTACTAACTGATGATTCCGCAAAGTGACCTAGTAGTGTCTAATTTTAAAATTTAATGACCATTTTTAAAGTAAATGCATGGAGGTTAGAGAAAAAGTTCACAGCTGATAATAAAAAGTAATGGAAAATTAAAGTGAGAACAAAGAATGCTTGGAGCACTTTTCTTAAATGTAAATACAGAACCTCTCCGGTCAGTGGCTAACACGGCTCCAATTAATGTGGGACTCTGCCCTCTACTTCATCTAAAAGGTCAGTCAGGCCCGGCCGGGCGTGGCTCAGCGGTTGAGCGCCAACCTAGGATCCAGGTGATCGGGGTTCGATTCCCGGTCAGGGCACATGCCCGGGTTTCGGGCTACGCAGCCGATCAATGACTCTCTCATCACTGATGTTTCTATCTCTCTCTCTCCCCCTCCTTTCCTCTCTCTGAAATACATAAAGATATATTTAAAAATAATAATAATAAAAAATAAAAATAAAAGGTCAGTTAGCGGCTGAAGACCAGAAGCTCCTTAAGATGGCTCTTCCAGGTGATGAAGATTTGCCCAGTCACAATCTCATGTCCATTTTACCCTGCATTTATAAATTTCTGATGTATTTTTTCAACTTGTCTGATTTCAGACATTTTTGTTCCAGATAAGTTCTCAAAGTCTGAGAATACAGAAATTGCAATTCTCACTCAAAAACTGGATTGACTTCTGCTAACCATGATTCTTTATTGGCAGCCTGTTACTTAGGATGCTTTCAGTTCTGTAAGGTGCTTGTTTGTTTGTTTGTTTGAAATTAGTATACAATTATAAAACCTGGAATCATCAATATACAAATTATTCTTTTNAAATTAGTATATAATTATAAAGCCTGGAATCATCAATATACAAATTATTCTTTTAGGAGACATGTTTTGGTTNTTTGAAATTAGTATACAATTATAAAACCTGGAATCATCAATATACAAATTATTCTTTTAGGAGACATGTTTTGGTTCTCCCTGTTGCTGTTTCTACTGCAGTATGAGCTGGACTTGTATTACTAAGATNTCTCCCTGTTGCTGTTTCTACTGCGGTATGAGCTGGACTTGTATTACTGAGATAACCTATTGCTATGCCCCAGTTCGTTCATAAGATGCTTTATGAGAAAAGCTGACCTCATTGTATGTGAAGAACAGGTTTGCCATGAAAGGAATGCTTTTATCCAGTTTAGAACCCTAATGTTTCCGATTTCATATTCCTGTTGCCGAGACGCAAGAGAAGCTGCATTAGGAGAGAAGGAAGACTCGCTACACTTAACATCTCCAGTTCGAAGAATTGTCTGGATAAGTAACACAGTCATCATTCAGCTATTGACTCAAGAGTTTCAATGATAAAAATCTTTTTGGAAAAAAAAACCAGGCAACATAATAAATTTTCATATAAAAGTAAAGTTTCAATTTAGTTTAAAAAAAAAGTCAATGAAACAAATGGCTCAGAAAACCATTCCTTCCATTTGCTTCTGTCTTTGTAGGTGGACCCCACCTTCCCTCCGCACAATAATCCAAGATCTCTCCTTGTCTATCAAATGTCCATGTCAGCCTCACCTGCCTTGTCAAATATGAACAATTTTACATTAAGCAGTGTTTCTTACATTATCTTCTAGCTACCTCTGTAGACATGGATTTGTAACATACCCCATTTACAAAGTGGGAGATTTGCAAACCTAATTGCAGGGCCCGGGACAGTGTCTGGCACATTGCAGAAGCTTACACACCACTGCTGAATAAATGCATAAACATTAATTCTGCCCACCCAGCATCTTCACATTAGTCTTTCTCCCTTCTCCATCTGCACCTTAAATACCTCAGATGCATGAAAAGTGTGGGGCTTCTTTGCAAATCTAACCAACGAGCTCTCTGAAGAATGGAATACACATACATCTGCTAGATATATGCCTCATTTGACAACCAATCTTCTCTGTAAATATACATGCTACAGCCTCCCCACTGTCTATAAAGACACTGATGCCATAGACAAGCCTTTTGTCTGATGACAGTCGAAGAGATTTTGCAGCAAGTCTGAAACTACACAGGAATTTTATACCGGTCACTTTCTGCAGAGCCACGATCCACACCCTTTTCTCTTCCTCATAATCCCAAGGCAGGCACCCTGCAGACCCCTTGGGAAAGTGCACTCATCCAAACAGGTCCAGTGGTCACCTGGTTATGGAATTTTCCCAGGAATAACAAGCAGAGCCCCTGCACTGTTTTTGAGGATGTGCTCAATGAACAAACATGTCCACGCTGTTTTTCAGTGCACCTGGATCTGAAGGGTAATATGGCTGCTTAGGCCTTACTTCTGCTAGAAAATAAAGCCAAGTACGTCTGTTTGGAATGTAGTGATGTGTGCCCACGGTGTTCAGCATGATGCAATAACAGTCACTACACAACACGAATTGCAAAAGATGCCAGAGCTGCCCTGCGCCATCAGGCTCACTGGCTTGCGGGTGGTTGTACAATGACACTCGGTCACTAACCCATAAGGTTCTGCTGGCTTCTTGTCCCACACAACTTTTCTCCACAAAATCACTATCTACAAAATCAGCCCCCACCCAGGAACTAGACTCTTTTCCTTCCTAAAGAGGATTTAAAGCCTATTTTACAGATGACAAAACTGAAGCCCAGAGAAGCTCAGTTCAATGCCTAAGGTCAAAGAGTACTAGAAATCTAGTGTCCAGAAATCCAGTCCAATATAACCAAAGATTGGGTGGGGAATCCATTCAAAATATTAATCTTATGCTAATAAGTGAAATAAATGCTTATCTGTACACATACAATATAATCCCAATATTAATTTTTATAAAATAACATAAAAAATGAAAAGCATAAGAGAGAAGATTGAGAAACAAAACTGGGTGAAAATACACCAAAATGTTAATGACTATGACCGGATATAGGTGCAATGAATGACTTTATTTTGTTCTCAGTATTTGTCTGTATTTTCTAANATGAAAATACACCGAAATGTTAATGACTATGACCAGATATAGGTGCAATGAATGACTTTATTTTGTTCTCAATATTTGTCTGTATTTTCTACATTTTCTGCAATAAACCTTACTAGTTTTATAAAATAAAAAAGAGAGAATAAATGTTCTAGAATATTCAACTGTGCTTACACTAGAAGTCATCTGCATTGATGGAGACTCATGAATAGGTAGAAAAGCTGAAAAAAAATGATACAAACTTACAACAATATACTTACCCACCAACTGTGGCAGAGAAGTAGCCTCCCTGTCAAGCATGATGGACCCTTTCTCCATACAGGTCCTCAGCTCAAATAAGCTGTGAAGGGATAGCGTGGCCACATGGGGCTTGCTCCATCTCTCTCCACCCTGTTCCACTTTTTCTTCAAACTTAATCCACCTAGGAACATGAGAATAGTGAATAGCAATTAAAAGTATTCTATCTACCTTGGAAACAGCAACATCAACCCCTCCGTTTCCACCCCCATCACCACTACCAAAATGTCTCCTTTCCCAGAGTCTTAAAAGCTTATTTATATCATTAATTGTGTTCCTTTTATAAATACACCAAACAGAGCTCCCAATCTGCACCTTTCCCTAATGCTAGAGAGAAAGAAAACAAACCAAAAAGAACCAAAGAATTCCTGGTTATATATCTATCAGTAACCACAAAATCCTTAAGAATGATTATTTAACTAAATTTTTTAAAGAAAATAGGAAAAAAATATGCATTACGAAACCATGCATATAGGTAGAGCCTACAATGGGTAAAAATAGTCACCAATGTGAGAATTCTGTTGTGACTTCTCGGGGCAAATTTATACAAGGTGAAATATCAGTTGTAAACCAATACTTATCTTAAATATTTAAGAAGCATGGTGTGTGATCAGATGAATATAAAATTCCCCTTTAATGTCTAAGGGGGGTGAGCATGTGTTGCTATGTCTTACTTTAACATATATTTCGCAGTTGGCCCACGGTCCCTCCTTAAAATCTAGCTCTACATGCGTTTAAAAATACACAAGCTCAATGAACAACACATCTTCTGATTATAACAGATCTATTAACCTTAACAATGGAACAAACAACCCTCCTTCACAGCTTCTTTCTAAGACTCCTAGGTATTTTGATAGCTTAGTAATATATACCAATAAAAAAGTTTAATGGAAATGAGAGCAAAACACATTTGACAGTTTTAATTTCCCACATATTACACCTACTGTCTGTTCTTACGCTGGTTAAAAATAAAAAACAAAACAAAAGACAGGAAATTATTATCATTTTGCTATTCATCATAACCCAAAGAAAAATGCTTTTTCTCTCTCACTTCAAACCTTCTGAAAGATATTGAAAAAGATAAACAGGGGTATAAAAAGTTGTTTTTCTACATTCTTCACCCAAAGGTTTAATGATTGAAAAATGTTTCCCTAGAAAAGCTGAATGCTCACCTAGCTCACTAAAGATGAGAACAAAGGGCAGGGATTAGAGGAAGCTCTACATAAGGTATTATTTATAGACCACTCACCACCCCCAGGGGGGGAGGGGGGCACACATTAGCAGCACCGGGAGTGAAAAGAGATCAAGAGATCAGCCACATTGTCAAAGAAGATTTAGAATTTTAATCAAGCCCAACACTGATTCAGAAGTATCTTAGTCACCTTCAAGGAGTCTCCCTCCAGGACCCGCTCAGCCAATGAACTCCCAGCCAATAAACTTCCAGGTGTCAACGGCAACCGGAGTCCCAACTTCATCCTCAATTCTAAGCCCTCTTCGTTTCCCCTGCATCCCCCAGAAATGGAGGCAGTGCAGATTTTTACAGGTTTACACCACCACTAAAGTTTTAAACCTTCAGAACTGGACCTTGTTTATTTCTACAAAGTGGTTGCAAAACATTCCAAAGACCCTTAATATTCGTGTGTGTGTGTGTGGTGTGTGGTGTGTGTGTGTAAATTAGTTCTTCACTTTGGCTGGTATCAAAACCACAGAAATAGAAGTGAGAGAGAAATGACAATTTTACATCACACTCAACTTCATCGCTACGAATTTGCCAAAACAATAACAGGTAATTGGGGTTATTGTGAGAGTAATCACTTTACGCAGCACATTACATTGGTTAACTGGAGGTATGTTATCTTTCCATGCTGGCTCACAGACTCCCTAACCATGTTTGTTGGCAACCGCCATGTGAATCACATTTACATTTGATGTCGTAATTTATTGCTTGAGATAAGACTCTAGAAGATAGAAGATTCCATAGTATATGAAACCAAGACAGGGTTACGTAAAATTATGTCATCTATAAAGACTACTACTGACTCCTTGTTTTTATTCCTAAGAGTATTCTTATTAGTTGAGGGGCAGAATCTTTGGTCATAGAATTTAAGCCCAAGATGAATGACAAGAGCAAGCTAGAAACTCAGCCAAGGGGAGTGTTTTACACAGCCTTCACTTCTGCTTATCTTTACTAAATGAGTCCCCCTTTTTATCAGCTGCCATAAATCTATATTGCCAAAACCATTTCTTAAAAGAAAACTAAGCCTCACTTACGTACAATGTGTGACAATGGCTCTTTTCTACTATCATCCTCAACTACTTAAACAATATAAGTTTAATTTAAAAAAATTGTAAAGGGGCAAAACCACTGCATTCTTTTGTGATTCATCTTTTATTTCATTCCTCTCTATAGTGTATATTATAGGCAACAGGACTGGACTCCAATATGACTTTGAACAAGTTTTTAAAAGATATTTAGAAATCATAAATCTTAACTAGCTTGGATTTATGGAATAGCATTACTCACCCTCCTGGAGGACACCAGCTCTTTAAGTCACGATTTAACAATAAAGGAATGAAATGTAGTCTCAAAACTAGCCAGCTCCTTAGAATCCACATTCCCAGGGGCTAAGTATCATCTCATAGTTCAGTTAAGCATCTATTTCACTTTGAGTTCAGCAAATACTGAATGTTGTGATGATGTCATATCATAGCACAGACAAAGCGTAAGGGAAAGTCTGGAATAATGACTATTAAATTCCTTTCAGATGTATTGTTCTAATTGTTCAAGGAACTGATTGTTCAAGGTACTTCCAACATATGCTTTCAGGCATAAAGTAATAGTCTGCCCATTTAAACAGACTATGTGCAGGGAGTTTCATTCTAGAAACTACACATGGTATGTCTATCGTCCTCACATATCAAGGACATATTTGAAAAAAACCTGAAAACTACTCAGCTCAAATAGAACCCATTAAGGAAAAGGCTAAGGCCAAGGTGCCAAAGTTCAGCCTATCTGAGTGCCAATGAATTTGTAAAGGTGCTTCAGAACCGTGTAATTACACTTGTAAAAAACAACAGATGTTCTCTTTGTAAAACGTACTAAAAGCCACTATCTACCCTCCATAATAGCTACGAATAACTGTGTATTTGCAATAAGTTTCTTACTCTTTCTTCTGCTTGGTACTGGACATGTTATAGGAAAATTAATTTCAGAAGTTGGCTCTTTAAATGCTTGCAATTACAAAACTCTTGCAACCTTGGAAGGAGTTTATTAGGTGAAGTTTATTTATTCCAAGGTCGTAGAACAATGATAAAGCACACTGCAGTTTGACACAGTCTGAGCGACTGCCAAACAACAGTATTTCAACTCATTTAGTGAAGAAATAGAAAACTCACTGGGAATCACTGAATTTTGCAATTTTCCAATCATATGATTGAATATAATTAAGAAAAGACAAGACCTCTAACTGAAAAACATGCCAGTTTTACTGTGGAAAATAGCATGACCTTTGCCCTAGATTATAATCCAACTTCATAAAACTATTAAAATGATAATAAAAGTTCTTGCTAACTAGTAATTGCCTTCATCACACATTTTAAAAATCCAGTGTTTGTGTATATCTGGGATAAATGATGTTTTTAAGGAGAACCCTTAAGTTTCTAGATCAACTGTGAAAGTTACTGCAAGTTACATGTATGCTGCTATAAAAGTTATATGTATAAGTTACATAAAGTTATAATATGCATATTTATATAAAATTACATGTGTTGTGACTACATATAATTACAAAATGATTCAATTCCTTTTCCTTCAGCCTTTGTCTCACAAAAAAATAAACTGGGTCTCAAATGGAATTTTCCAAAGGCAAGTCAATGCCGACTGGGAAGGGCGCAGATCCTCTCCGAAGGCCCAGGACAAGTGCGGCGTCGGTGTCCGACGGCCAGGCCGTGAAATCAGGTTCTCCAGAGGTACGTGGGCAGCGTGCAGGAAAAAGGGGAGCCAACGGGGGCCGTTCCTTCATGCTGTTCCACCACAGCGAAACGTCAATACCCTTTCCCTTGGTTGGCTTGCTGAGTTTGCTGAAACTTGTGATGTCTTCCCTTCTTACCCAGGTTGGGCTGTAAAATCTGAGTCACACTGGGAGTGAACTTTAACATATTTTCTTCTAACAGTTCACCACTTACAACAATGACCATTGGAACAGTCGCTGAAGTAAAAGTGAAAGGCAATAACCATTTTTTGCAGAGACATGACTGACAAAGAAATAGAGTTTGGTGATGGGGCCATCACCAAAGCTGGACCAGGACTTATTCTTTACCAGTTTGCTTCATGAATCCATTCGCTAATACATAGCCACCTAGAAATTCTTAATGAAAACACAGGCTTCCTCCCTAATACCAAATACTCCATTATAATTACTGCTCCATTTCGTATTCCAATGACCTAACACTTCGGAGCACTCTTTAAAGCACAGTGCTCTTCGCATTCCACTGACCACTTACACCTCTCAGGTCTGATCATTCCCTCCCCGCACAGTCTTCAGCTTGAGCTCAGTGGAAATTCAAAGTTCTGACTTTTAGGAAAGGGACGAGCAGGGGAGAGATGTGAAAAAAGAAGGTGGTAGAGTTGGCTGTATTTCCAATTTCATATAAATAAAAGCTTCCCTTGTTTATAGTTTCACATGACTACTGTGGTTTCCAAAACTTAAATGGGGATATGTTTCCTCCTACTGAAACCCTCCTCCTTACTTTTTGAGATGTGAGCTAACTTGAACTTCCTGAAGCAGGACTGAAACTACAGTATGCCAACACTCAAGGTAAGATATTCTTGGTGATATCGGATCATTAGTCAACTAAAAAGTATAGAACATTAAAGGGAGAGTACTTAAACGGGTAGGGGGTGTGGACCGAAGTATATTAAGCTGAAGAAGTCTGGTAGGTTGGTTCTCTATGGAATAAAAGTCTGTCAATTGGGGTTTTTACAAAAAAACACAAATTCTCAATTTAATAAGTTAGCCAGAAAAAATATTCATGCTGTAGACTCATATCTAAAATGAATTCCTTCTAAGCACTATGCTTTTATTAGTCTAGTAGGTCTGAAAGCTTCTCATGGGGGAAGAAAAAACCCGATCATGTCTGGAAACCGGACACCATAAGTGGCAGTCAAAAACTACTGCAAACATGTTATGAAACAGAGTACGTTGCAAAAAGTAAAAATCACAGCTAATCTGCCCAGGCCACTGTGGCTCAGCTGACTGAGCATTGTCCCAGGCACCGAGGGGTCACCAGTTCAATTCCCGGTCAGGGCACATGCCCAGTTTCGGGCGTGATCTCCAGGTGGGACTGTGCAGGAGGCAGCCACTCAATGTTCCACTCTCACATTGATGTTTCTCTTTCTCTCTCCCTCCCCCTTCCCCTTTCTCTAAAAGTTGCTGAAAATATGAATCATCTCTGGAGGCACAATCACCTCCAAAACCTCCCAGCGGGATTTAGGTAAAGCAGTAAACTAACAATCAAGGTTCTGTTTCTCCATTCATTCTATTCACACATATTTCTTGATGACAGACTGCATGCCAGGTAGTTGTAGGCACTAGAAGTGTAGTGAACAAGACAACCAAAGATTTCTGCCTTCATGGAGCTTTGATTTTATTAGGAAGAGAAAATAAGACATGTAATATGCTAAATGCTGGTAAGCGCTAAGGATAAAAATTATGGAGGATGGGGGAGAGAGTGTCGGGGGAAGGCTTCCACTTTAGAATGGGCAGTCACTGAGAAGGTCATATTTAAATAAAGACCTGAAGGAGGTGAGGAAACGAGCCAGGCAGGTAACACGGGGATGTGGCCCAGAGAGCATTTCAGACAGAGGGAACAGCAAATGCAAAACCCCTGACCCAGGAGCATGACTGGCCAGGGAGGCTGGAGCAGAGGGACCAAGAGGGACGGAAGTAGCAGACGAGGTCACAGAGGTCATGGCGGACAGTTCCTGAGGGAAGGGCGGGTGCAGGAGGTGGGCTAATTAAGAAGCCTTTGCAGTAATCTAGGTGAGAGAGAACGGTGACTTGGACCAGGTTATGAAGTACCGAATAGGAGATACGGTGAGATTCTGAATATGTGAATATCTTTGATGGTAAACAGACAGGATTTGCCAAAGGATTAAGTAAGGGGTATAGGGAAAGACAGGAGTCAAGGAAGACGACAATGTTTCTGGCTTGAGCAACTAGAAAAATGGAGTTGTTCACTGTAGTGAGAACTCTGTAGGAGGAGCTTATCTGCAGTAACTAAATCAGAAGCTCAGTTCTAGACATGTCATTTTGAGATGCTTATTAGTCATCCAACCACTTGTTTTCAATCAAATAAGGCAAGAAGTACGGGAGAGAGAACTAAAAGCAGACGGGGTCAGCATACTGACGACTCAGTTTGAAACATCAAACACAGGTCCCTTCTGGGCTTTCTTGATGTGCTGGGTGCCTTGGGTTTGTCATTCAGCTGTCTGTCCATCGGAGATGGATAATCACAGACCTCCAACTTCAGACAAGTAATACTTCTAAGAAAGTATTATATGTAGGACAGTTGTTTCTAAAGCAATCAGTTCTCAATTAATTGCACTCAACAGATACTACTGACCAACTATTATATACGAGGCACTGCAAGGCACTGGGATTACAGTAGCAAAAGAGACATGGTGGTCCCTGCCTGCAGATGAATTAGTGTAATAAGGCAGGCAAAATCAAAACAATATCACATGTATGATTAGTTAATTAATAGGAGAAGTTATAGAGCGTAGACTATGTGTAAGTATGTTTCTTCCTGGACAGCTCCCCCTGACACATGGCACACTCCCACCACACTTCTCCAGAAGTACAGTCTCCCAGGGACCAATGACATCACAAAAATGACATATGCTTCCAAGGAAATCAAGTCTTTAAGGATAGTACAGTATTCAAGACCATCTTAATCTTTAAGAACCTTAAAGGAAAGGCCTTAAAGGGAGATGTTCATCTCTCTCAACGTTTTGTTACCTATATAGTGAGCTGTGATCTCTCCACATTTCTGGGACCAGAGGTCATATAAAATAAAGTGTAGTCTTCACTTGACTGAAAGAAAAACAGAATGCTACACCTGAATTCTGATAGATATCAGTACTAGAACAGAATTTTAAGATTAAAATAAGAGTCAAAGTATGTCTTCTAATCACAGCTGACTATACCAGCATACACACAGAGATGGAATTTTAGAGCTATAAAATATGCGTGATGCTACAGAGGATGTAACCCAATATGACCCTCATTTGATGGAACAGAAAACCCAGACTCATGAAGACTACATGACTACATGACTTGCCCAAAGTTAAACTGCTAGTTGCAGCAGAGCCAAGACGAGACCAAATCTCCCCAACATTTAATTCAGACTGCACCAGTATGACTCTCATTCTTTTTCTGTTAGAAGAAAAAGGAAGAATGAAATGGAGATACTAATAAAAAAAAAGTGTTTGCTTCAAAAGCCTCCTTTTGCAGGATGTTTTATGAGCTAGAAGTGTACTTCGTGGAGGACTTTAAATATCCAGGCTATTGGAACTGACAGACGGTGTAAGAGACAATGGCTACATCATGAAAAGAGGCCCTCGAAGAGCAAATAATGAACATATTTACTTCTGTCTTCCCAGCACCTAAAACAGTACCTGATTCTGTTTATGAAAGTGAAATACATTGAATCTCCATGTAATGATGACAATCTCCATGTAATAATCTCCAGTAACTACATCATATCAAAGTCTTTATCTTACATAATTGTTATATGTCATCAAAGATTTAGTGTGGAGTATATAACTAAATATGTATGTAGAAAGAAAGAAAAGCTCTGTTATTATGAGATTAATGAAAACTTAGATATTTGTGTAGGGCTTAACAGTTTACAAAGAATTTCCATATATACATGCGTGTGTATACATGATATAGACATATAGTGTATGTTATATTTACATATATTACATCTCTTATATAGGCATTATTATCCACTCTATTGGTGACGAAATCAAAGTTCTGAGAAACCCAGCGTTTTGCAGCTAACAGGCTACAGAGTCTGAAATTGAACTCAGGTCTCTAAACTCCAAATTCAGGTGACTCTTCTACTTACTTTCACTGGATATTTAAAAGACGAACAGTTTTTATTTGGAAGAACAGCAGGTTTGTGGGTACCAGTTGCTGTCTTTGCACCCTGCATCCTACAGGGAATGGGCATTAAATCAAACATGATCTCACAAGATGCTCCGACATGTGGAGACTGGACACATATCTCTAGGCTCGTGCCTGGGTACCTGAGTCTCTCTCTAAAATGCTTCACTATGAAGTAGCATACGAAGTAGATGGAGATTTACTGCTAAGCCCTTATAGGGTGAAAATATGACAACGCACATCAGTGGCAGTGGAGCACAGGGTGTCCTGCCTCGTGTCAAGGCTGCTGCCGCCGGCCCAGCCAAGGCCATCGTGCTCGCCAGGCACCCCACGCCCCTGCGCAGCCGGCCTCACCTCGCCGTCTCCTTCCACTCCATCTCCTGCCCGTCCACGGCCAGCAGCTCGTCCAGTTCGGTGAAGAGCTGGGGGGGCGCCGGGCTGTCATCCTCCTCGCCCAGGATGAAGCGGATGCGCTCGGCGGCCGGGGAGACTGCAGAAGTGAAAATGCTGCGGTTAAACACGGGCTGCACGACCTTCAGGAAGGTGAAGCTCCGAGCCCGTCCGGCGTCCCCAAGGCTGCCGGGCTTCCCTTCCACGCCCTCCGCGGACATGCTCCTCGCTTTGTCCCCAACCTAAAGCCCGCAGAATCAAGCCCGTCTCGCTCCTTTCGTCCCGAACCGTGGCCTCAGCTCGCCACGGCTCTCCCGAAGGACAGCGCTCGGGCTCTGCGTCCTGTGTGACAAGGAACCTTTAGCCCTCAGATGCGCTGAGGTCCAAGCTCATGACTTTCCCTCCTTCCCCACTTATGACCCATCCAAACTTGTGCGACAGAAAGCAGCTTGGTCCGATCGCTTTTCTACGCGGTGGGAGGTGACAGCAGAGTGCCCCACCGTCGCTTGGCCCCGGTGCCCGCCTCCCCGCCCTCCCTCTGCCCACGCCTGAGCCGTGCCCTCACAGGCTCCTCGCTGCCCATCACTAACCACGAGCCAATGAGCGAATCTTTAACGACCGGGCCTCCTCTTTACATAATGGTGTATCCAAGCTTTAGTCACACTTCAATGCACGTGAAAAACAAGCCCGAGTAAAACATTGCACACCTGAGGGGGGAATTCCAACAAACCCAAGCACATAATTGAATGCCCTACTAGCTCCTTTTGACCCATCTCCCGAAAATAATGGAATGAAAAATTAACTAGCATCTCTTCCAGGTCATGGGTTATTTTCCCCTTGTTTTGGTTTTTCCCCCCCAAAGGACAGCATTTGGAAACTGACAGTCATGTTACAAAGCTGAGGCCCACAGATGCCCTTTAAAATCCGTAGGTAAAATCAAGAATGGTATACGCATACGAATGCAGTTCAGGTACACAGATGTGTGTGTGTGTGTGTTTGTAAGAAGGCTGTGTTGCCTTCTTACCGCCCAACCATAAATTCACAGCGAGAGTTGGCCGGCAAAGGTGAAAGAGCAGCACAGAAACAAGGTGATGACACTGGAAGTGAAATCTGCAGTCAAATGTAAACGGACTACAGAAGGCCCAGCTGATCGCGGGACCGTAAACAAGGCTGCCACCGCCATTCGAGAGGCTCCCGGGGAGGGCGCTCGGCGACGGCGCCCTGGTCAGCTTAAAGGGGAAAGCGCTGTGACAAAATTATATCAACAGCTTCACATTAAAGGGACTCTCAGGGACAATTCTTTTTTGTCTTTCAGAGAGAGTGGAGGGGAAAGAAAGAGAGAGAGGGAGAAACATCGATGTGAGAGAGTACAGTTTAGCCCGGCCAGCGTGGCTCAGCGGTTGAGTGTCGGCCTAGGATCCAGGCGATCAGGGTTCGATTCCCGGTCAGGGCACCTGCCCGGGTTGCGGGCTCAGCCCCCAGTGGGGGGCGTGCTGGAGGCGGCCAATCAATGACTCTCTCATCATTGATGTTTCTCTCTCTCTCCCTCTCCTTCCTCTCTGAAATCAATATATATTTAAAGAAAAAAAAAAAAAGAGTACAGTTTATATGCTAGGAAGGGAAGCAAGCATTAATTAATTAATTAATTTAATTAAACAGCAAACAAAAAATATGTACCAAGTGTGTTTGCAAAACATTAAAGTAAGGTAACTGAGCCCTGGCCGGGTGGCTCAGTTGGTTGGAGCGCCACCCTGTACACCAAAAGGTAGAGGGTCAGATCCCTAGTCAGAGTGCACATGGGAGGCAAGCGATCGACGTTTCTCTCACATCAGTGTTTCTCTCTCTCTCTCTCTCCCCCTCTCTCTAAAAATCAATTTTAAAAAATAAGGTAACTGAATATACAGTAACACAAGATACAATGTTTTACTTCTGTAATTAGAAAAAAAAAAATGGCTTTGAAATGTCTTAATATCTCTGGGAGGAAAATATCTAAAGCTCCAGGACTTTGTGTAAAAACACTTGCAATGCCTTTCCAGTAGAGAAACAGGGTGTGTGAGATTATTTTTTAGAGGATCAGGGACAGCATAAAACGTGGGGGGATTAAAAATTATAGGCAGAATTTGGAAACTAGATAATACTTGTAAGGAGTGTGGTGTTTGTATTACTAAAAATGTAGTTATTGATCACAGTGGTTCTGCAACTGACAATCACAAATCTGATTGATTTTTCATCAACATTCAATATCAAAGATCCCTGAGTTAGAACTAGCTTTTAGACGGGGAAAGTCTCCATGTAGAGAAAAAACTTCTTGTCCATTTCTGAAAGATGTGATGTAGGTTTGTTCCCGCCTCTCCTGCTTAGATAACGGAATCTCCTGCACACACAGCACACATCTCTGCTCAGCCCGAATCCACAGAGCGTCACTCTGTGGCCTGGCATTCTCAAGGGAGGAAAACACTCCTCAGAGAGCAGTTCATCTGTGACTTCTGCAAAACGGGACGGAAAAAGATGTAACAACACCTCCAGGTCTTCCTCTCTAGGTTCCATGTCTAAGCACCTTTCTTAAGTTGTCTTATTTATTAAATACAGCCTCTGAGCAACCAACAGAACAATCCCTTTGGGATAAAATCCCAAAATCACGTGTCATAAACTAGCTTGCCACTCTAGTAAGTTCCTTTCCCTCGTTGCTCTCCTAAGCTTCCCCAGGATTTAGAAGTACACAGGAGGCCACAACTGCATTGTAAATACCCACCTACGGGAGGGGCATCCTCTGTGGTGGGTGAAGTACCCTTCCCAGTTTCTCACATCATTCTTAACACAAAGATATGCAGAGTGACAGTCTCCCTAATGAAGTGGATCAAGAATCTATTTCTTTCCCATAACTTTTGATCAAATGGTCAAATGAGCTAAACACAAGACACAGCATTTCATTGAGGTTAAAAGTATAGGCTCTGGAGTCAAACTGCCAGAGTTTGAGTCCAAACTCTGTTACTTATTTGTTGTGTGACCTAAGACAAGTTAATTAACCTGTGTCTCAAGTTCCCCACCTGAAAAATGGGATGATCATTATATAGTGGTTAAATACAAGGCTCTACGTAGCTTAAAAATTGCTGATCCTTACGAGTAAAACCTGCTTCACTTCGAAGAAGCTAGCAGATACTGGTCCTGAGAGCCTCTGCATGTGGCAAATATGTAAGGGAGGAAAGTAAAAAGCCAGCATGGGTTACTTCAGTGAATTAGGCAGCTTCAGCAATGAGAGCACAAGGATTACCTATATTTTGGGAAACAGCCAATAAAAGAACAAGGGGGAAATAATGAAACTCTTACAATCTCACTTTAATACCTGGAGGCCGGGGGACATCAGAAAATCAACTTGCAGCCCGGCTGGTGGGGCTTAGTGGTTGAGCGTTGACCTATGAACCAGAAGGTCATGGTTCGATTCCCGGTCAGGGCACAGGCCGGAGTTGCTGGCTCGATCCCCAGCAGGAGGTGTGCAGGAGGCAGCCGGTCAATGACTCTCTCTCATCATTGATGTTTCTATCTCTCCCTCTCTCTCTGAAATCAATAAAGACATATTTTAAAAAAAGAAAAAAAAAATCAACTTGCATTACAGATGAAGAGATTATGATTCTAAGTAANCTGAAATCAATAAAGACATATTTTTAAAAAAGAAAAAAAAATCAACTTGCATTACAGATGAAGAGATTATGATTCTAAGTAATAGCTAACCTAGTTTTATCATAAAAGGAAACCTGGAGAAACATGAGAGAGGGTACTGCTATTCTCCATTAAAACCTTCGAATTAATCCAATCACACTTGTCAGAACAGAAGACCTACAGATCAAAGCGAAGTTAATGCCTCTCATCTGCCTTGATTTCTTCTTTTTTTATTCTGTTCTCTCATTAAAATGTGTTTGGGGTTTGTTTTGTTTTGTTTTTTAGTAGCTATAGAGCTTCCTGGAGGGTCCTCCATCAATGCGGTTATCCCTGACCAGTGTCCTCCTGCAGAGTAACAATGTGAGGGTCTGCAAAGTTTGGGAAGATCCAGCCTCCAAAACCTGCACTGCCAACCAGAAAGGCAAGTACTGGGCAGGAGCGCCGTTCACGCCACTTCCACCACCGGCACCCGCAGAAGGCCTCGCTTTCACATCACCGCGATCCTTCCTGCCCAGCCTGAGCCTGGTCGGCCCCAGAGCAGCCACTGCCCCTCAGTCAGAGATGGTNAATGGCGCATGAGACGACCCCTCTGCCACCATGCCTGGCTAAAAGACAGTCTGCTCTGCTTGCCTTCCATGCCGCTCTGGCCCCAGTGTGTGTGCCCAATCTTGTCTCCCACAGCAACTCAGAAGTGTCCTGTGACAGAATGTACCGGCTCGCTTCCAGATCTTTTTCGTTTTCCCTCTGAGTTATTCTTTTCTCTCCTCTCTGACTCAGTTGCTAAGTGCCAGCTGAAAATTCTGTCTTTTCCAATAACCTGTATTAACCATTCACAGAAATGTCTCTCCTTTATTTAAACCATAACAATGCTTTGCATCTAAATTACTTAACTCATTGAGCACCAACAAATATACAGCCTGCTCGTGATCACCTAACTTTTGTAGATGTGACTTTCTCTCCAACTAGATAACCAAGGTCCTGGAAGACAGGGTCTGTGTTTTACATACTTCCCATCAAAGCTGACCTAGTGCCGTGGACCTAACAGCCACTTTGAACAGTAATGAATTAGATACGGCTTAATGAACCTTGGACATCTTCAAGTACATAAAAACATAACCATTTGCAAAAGGAAGCTTACGGAGCTCTGAAATGAAAAATACCTAAGTTTCTAAAACTGTCCTTATCCTACCCTTCCCCTTAATCCATGTCTGCATTAGCTTCACGGTGACCAAAACGCAGTCACCATTCTGTTGGGTAAGCCACAAATGAAAGGATAAGTACTTCAGGTAAGCTATTTCCCTCTGCTTGATGCAACCGCAGCTACCCGAGGGACCACAGCATGTCATCTGCTCTTCTATTAGGACACTGAATATCCACGGCTTTGCGTGGCATCCACTGCTGCACTTTGTCTTTGCACCCTAGCTAAGCCAACCATCTGGGCCA